AAAGAGTGTCCATTCCTGTAGAGGGTGAATCATTCAAGAGCTGTGACAACAGTGAGGAAAAAGTAACACATTCTGTTGAAAATCCTGGGCAGAAGAAGATTGATGGTAATCTGAGAAGGGAAGGACTTGTCAATGAAACAACGCGAGAAGTTGAAAAACCTAACCCTCCAGTGGTAGAAGGGAAGACCTTACCTTTTCCTGAAGAAACTGACAGTGAAAAGAGTCCAAATGGTCTGGAGCCTTCTAGAGAAATTAGGTCTAAAAGAGAAATAAAGCCTGTAATTAAACTCAGTTATGATGAGTTGGGTAAAGCTACAAACCGCCCAATATATACTATTACACATGGTATGCCAGTGCACTGTAGTTTTGTTTCAGAGGGTAAGAGAAGTAATTGTAACACTGGTTGGTGCCACCCTCTTGCTACTTGCCGTAAATGCAGTAGAGAACCTAAGAAAAAAAGAATTAAACACTTGTAAGATCCCGAAAGTTTGACGGGGACCTCAAACATTTAAAAGGGGGAGGGTGTAGCCCGGTGAGAATAAAAAGATGCTAAATTATGGTTTGATACTAATATGTTTATTTACATTATAATGTGTGTGTTTTATTTTTATTATTTGTTTATTCAGTTTCATTTCAGCGTTTTCATGTGTATGTATCGTTCATTCCATGTGCTTGTGTGGTGACTAGCACGAACCGGATCGACATTCAATGCAGAGAAGGAGAAACAGACAGCGCTCCGGGTGACCGGAAAAGCCCGGAGTTCCTCTGTTGCCGTGTGGGAGAGCCGCTAGCCGCTCACGCGAGCCAAAGCCACGACGTTTCATCATACCGCGGGACCCGTCGCGTTCTGGGAAAAAAAAAACCTCAGGCCTGCAACGTAGGGTGGGTGTGTGAGTGATAGCAGGAAAGTGGGCCCACTGTTTTGTTACTGAATATAGAGAGCATTTCATTGGGTTAAATCCCAAATTGAAAGATTTTGTTATTGAGTTGTAAATTTGTACATTTTCCAATTTAATTCCCTAACGTGTGTTTAACACTTGTGAAAATAGAAGTTTGGGTTATTCCATATTGTCCCTTCTTTTAAAGGATTTGATTTGACATTGAAAAAAGTTGTTTACACAGTTTTATTATCCTTTCACATTGCTTTACTAACTTCATTGGGTTATTTAAATATATAAACAAAACCTAATTCGACCAGTATTGGATTCTATCGTCTTTATTGCTGCTGGAAGGAAGAGAAATATATTTGACTGTTAAAGTTAATCATAACAGTGAAACAAATACTTACCCAGGCCCCAGCTTTAATATAGCGGGTATCGTTACTGGGGTTACAGATAGTTCATCCAAAAATGAAAGTTCTGTCATCATTTACTCACCCTCATGTCAATGGAAACCTGATTTTGTTTTGGGTCCCACTGAATTTATGTATGGACAAAAACAGTGGACACACTGGTTAAGAATGACATAAGGGTGAATATTAATATTTAGGCAAACTATCCCTTTAAGTGCTTTTACTTGTGTAGCATTTTAATGCCCCAGTTGACCCTTCGCAAAGACCCGCCCCCCTTAGTTACTGTTGCTATGTCCGACAAGCCATGGCGCTCTCACGCCACGCATCATGTTCTCACGCAGTGAAAAATACATTGCAGAGCAAAGAGGACACTGACAGCACGCCGACAAACAAGACAGAGCAGGTTACTTTTGGTATGAAACAGATAAGTCTCAGCTCTCAAATTTAGTCATTTTGAAAGAAATTCAAACAATAAGTACCGTTTTGTGGCTCTTTAATGTGTCGAGACAGATCGCTGTAGTGCCTCAGTTTAAGGCAAGCAGCACATGAACCGAACATCTCTTCCTCTTTACTAGTTATATAGCATGAAATAAATACGAATGAACATCAGAAGGTATCTTGTGGAAAGCGGAAAGCCATCAATTCACACCATTTTTCAAGTTCAAGTCCACGACGTTAATCTACTCTCCTGTCTGGTTTGTTTGTCAGACAAAATGGCAGATTCAGCATTATGATTGGTCAGACTGCCTGTCAATCAAACTCCTTGCGAAGAGTCAATTGGTTAGAGTCTGTTTATGGACCCAAATGCAAGCCTGTGGAGTGAAAATGCACTATACTATACCATCAGGGAGTTGTAAAAGTTAGGCCCAACTCTGAGCTAACAAGAAGGACGAGGCATTTTAGCTGTTTTACCATCAGCCATCTCACATGCTGTGGTGTATTTGGTGGTGCCTAATGTAAACCTGCTGTGCATAAATTCTCCAGGCCATTTAAACACCCCTGTAGGGTAATACTTTCTTGTTAACTCAGTAATATTGCTCACTAAAAAAGAATTACGGAAGAAAAAACCATTGTTAAACACAATGGCGGTTTAAGGGTTTAGTTAGAAGTAGCGTCAAAACGTAATTTGATCTTGTTTATTTGTGAAAGTTAAGGATATATGGACAGCCATGTCTCCCTGCCGTGCTTGTGTGGGCAGCAGCCTCCCGCTGCGCAAATATGCAGGCACTTCATAGTGCTACAATAAACTCTGCCGTCTCTTGAATCTTGAACCCAGACTGCAGAATGCATAATAAAGATAAAAATGGAAGCGTTTTTGCATAACAGTCTACGGCTCGGTCGCCTCTGCCCTTCTCGGCGGCCCCCTCACATCGCATTAGCGCCGTTTGTGTGGGTTGGTACGCTGGTTGAGAGCCCAGGCAGATGACACTATAAGCCTGTCCCCCTGAATGCCAGCCTCTCCTGTGACAGTACGTACATTAACAACAAAAAAAAAAGGGCTTTTGAATGTGTGACAAAGGTCTTTATGAATTTAAATTGTGCGTGTTTTTTCTCAGCGGTGGGAATCGGCACAGGACCTTAGTCACAGGTCATGTGGTTTAGGGTTACTAAAAGCCTCTAGGAATAGAATTGTGTTGCGCGCTTTTTGCCCTTTTACAAAGCCCTTTCTGCAGCCGCGAGAGAAAGCGCTCGCCCCCAGGTGGGGAGCGAAGACGGACGAGTCGGGTCCCTGGAGGCCGTAACCGGAGGCTTATCAGAGCCCGACGCTGTTCTGTAATACTCCTGTGAAAGTCCTTCTCCGCCGCCTCCCAATAGCCGCGTCTCTGGGCAGGAGGCTGTAATGGAGATCTCCGTGGCCCCTCGGTAAGCAACGAAGGAGCAAAAAAAGGGGGGATCTGTCTCAGGACGAGGCGTCCCACTCCAAAGCAGAGATGGGACGGAGGGAGAGATGAGACTGCCGCGTAGGCGTGACAGAAGAGAGGAGAGGTCTAATGAGTCAGAGGGAAAAGGCTCGGGTTCACCTCAGGGGTCCCCAGCCGCGAAGCGTCACCTCACGGGGCGCAGGTGGACACGCCCGGCATTCGAACGCCACCGCGTTTCTCACGGGCTCCCCGAGGAGAGCTGGTGTCGTGGCTCAAAAGGATTGGATAAAGACCGGGAAGATTTACACCAGTTCAATGACATTCAGATTAAAAACGAGACCTCGACGATTCAGCCGAGATGAGTAACCTGAGATTTGTCTGATAAAGATAAATGCCGTAACTATGACTATGAGTCATGTTGCGATGATCAGTTGCTCGCTTCTTGGCTGCTATGCTGACTGCAATCCTAAAGGTTGTTTTGCCAGTAATTTTGCCAGCAGATACAACTGGCGTCGTACCATGGTGGCCTGAAAGGCTTCCCAAGAAGAAGTTCAAGCAAAATAGAGCGCCTAAAAGGGTGATGAAGCTGATTTCGGGGCAGGCCAGGATGATGCATTTATCACACAGAAGCTCTGAATAACTGAATCTTTTGTGTTTAGTAGTCACTTTTAAAAAGTATGCAGGAAAAATAGATAATGCAATTCAAAATTCAATTAAATTATCTGTGTAGTTTGGTGTGTCACATTGTAAAATGCATTAGGTTCCTCAAAAATCAGCCACTTTGCTGAGATTTTGAAATTTATTTCAAAATTCATTAACCCCAAGCATTGATTCTCAGGAGGATAAAGGGTGTGTAAATAGAGGTGTTTTCTTTTATCAAAATGAGAACTGTTGTGTGTTCATATTGTTTGCTGCTGTTTGAAATGCTGATTCTTTTCACACCATTCCATTGAATCATTTCAAAAGAGTAACTTGATAACCTTGAGGGTTTGGCTGCATGTCTAAAGCATATTCTCGTATACAAAGACATCTTTCCCTGGAGATTTTCAGAAATTACTTAAAAGACATCCATTTAATACATATATGATGTCATGTGGGATACAGCAAGTGCAATTTTTTAATTAAACAATAAGGACCAAATTATTGTTGTGTCTTCCTAGCAGATTTATCTTGATATATCAATTTATGGCTGATTTTTTAAAATATATCATATGCATAAATATTCATATTAGACTCTTAAACCAAAACAACAAATAAATTTAAATATCATCTGAAACAATTGTAATAGTTTACCATTTATGCATAATATCTGTTGATATATGAATCATCAATGATCTATGATGCACTGGTGCACCTAATAATACATTTTGCAATAAATTATATATAAATATGTTATATACAATTATATATATGTATAATTTTAGAATTTAGAATTCATTTAATATAAAATAAGGAATTTGAAATACGATCGTAACTGGTTATGATTGGCTGAGCGCCAAAGCGAGTAAACGGACTTGGTGTGAGCGTGTTTTATGCAAATTACTAGCGGTTATTAAACATCCGGATTCAACGATTTTACAACGAAGGTAAGAACATATTTACCCACCTGTTGAATACTGCGTGAGAACTTTTCTACACACAAAGCAGACACTACCATAGCGCACATATGTTACCTCTAAGAAGAATTACGTTAGAGAGTTTGAAACGTAACGTCTCACATGTGCTGCATCCCTAATTTCCCGCATCCGTCCTCATAAATCATTTCTTCAATACCTACCCAGTATTTCCTCTGACGGAACAATTATTTATCATTAACAGGTCTTATATGTATCCTGTTAACTTCAACATAACTGCTGTTAATTCTCAAGGGTTAACGTTACTTCATGCCAGAGCATTGCTCTTTAGCACTTACGTTACTTAAAGAAAACGATTCGAAAGTTCGCCTGAACTTTTTAATCATTAACTCTTGGTCGGCCGTCAAAATACAGTACTTAGAATTTTATAGTGTGTCCACAGTCAGTGTGACACATAGAGAGCAGGGGATACAAACTTAAGCATATGACTAGAATAAGCGTTTAATTAAATAAGGAGAAACCCAGTGAACACGACTCTTAAAGTTTATCCAAACTGCCAGACTGTCGAAATGAAGAATCACTAGCATTAAAAGTGGAACATTTATCTCATGTATGAGGAAGCAACAGATGAGTAATGACAAGTAATGATAAAAAAAAAGGACATTAATGGCATGGTTTCACTCAGATGCTTCCTTTATCAACCTTATCTTAATGCAATATATCAAATATGTAACCAGGTCGAGGCTTATGTATCTTGGGAGACATATATTATAGAATTCACAGATATGTTGCATTTTGTGTGAATCTCATTCACGTGGTATTGCAGGTGGTTTTAACAACAGACATCTGATACCTTCTTTCCTAAATTTAATGGTCCAGTCATTACCTTCGCTCAGTAAATTTGCATGGTATGAGGTCTGCGTAAAATGTTCCACTTAAACCACATATTTGAAGAATAAGGCATCATTGAAATGTAGTGCTAAAGTGATTAGTTCCCGTTGTAGACAAAAATCTTTAAACAGTCTTTTTTCTTTTGAATCAAACCACAACAGCAAATTGCTTCTAAGCGAGGAACAAGGCAATTCACATGTGCCTTAGATCTGTTCAATTGTTTTTGAGGTGTGGATTTGGCAAAGTGGGCATTAATGCCAGCATAAATTTGTGAAACAGCTATTGTAGATAATCCCTGAGAAACATAATTTCTTATTAAATTTAATAACAGAGCAGCTCACCCACTCAGTCCCGTGCCCAGTCTTTCATGATAAAAAGGGGAAAACAGCTATGAGCAAAACTGAAAAGGCATGCCGACAAAGTTCTCCCAGGCTGTTGCACCTATTTTTGTGAAACTCGATTGTCAATATTTGTATTGCCAAGTTAAAGTAATACATTGCACTCTTGATTGGCATTTAGTGGGTTTGTTAAATCCTTTGCTTTCTACCGCACCCTAACACATGCACTTGCAAGTGTGATCTTCCTATCTTTTCCTATCATCTTCATGCATGTCTGACTAATATTTTAAACTATTTGCCATAAGCAGAATGCAACAGGTTAGTATTCAATTATCGTCCTTATATGAGTACTTCCAACTACTGACAGATAAAAAAAAAAAAAACTAAAATCTTTTCTGCAAAATGCATGAATATCCGAGGCCAAAATATATCCTAGATTGTCCAGAAAGTAGGCTGCTTGAGTAGTATTGGTAATGCTGTGCAGCTTTTATGGTTTTCAATTCAAATTTTGAACTTTTATGTTTTTGTTTTCTGAGCTACAAGGAAAGGCTGCAGTTTCCTGTGATTATCATATCAGGAAGTAAGGATATCAGAGTTGTTCATAAGGAAATTAAAGCATTTTAATGTATTTTTTTATATTTTTTAAACTAGAACATAATATATATTGTGCAAGTCTATAAATATAGCTGTTATGCTACCCGCAGTTGGAACCAGCTACCAGAATAGATCAGATGTGCTAAACCAGTAGCCACATAAATCTAGATTCTAGACTCATCAAAACACATCTATGCATTTAAATAATTTTTTAAACATTTAAATTTTTTATCCTTTGCTTCTATTGTTGTGATTATTTTTATGATTATTTTAATTCCTTTTTATGTAAAGCATTCTGAATTACCATTGTGTATGAAATGTGCTATATAAATAAACTTAAAAAGTAAATAAAATAAAACAGTTCATGATACATATTAAAATATTTTCATATCATGTTATATTTGAAACAGCCTTGTAAAAACACAGTATATACACTACAAGTAAACTGTTTTTTTTACATTGATAATAATAATACATACATACATGTATACAATATAATAATAATAATACAATAATACAACACTGGAGTAATGACTGCTGAAAATTCAGATTTGCATCACAGGAATAAATAGCATTTTAACATATGTTAAAATATGATACAAAACATTTCTTTTAAATTGTAATAATATTTTTTTTTTGATAAATGTAGCCTTGATGAGAATAAGCGATGTCTTTCAAAGGCATTTAATCTTTATAAATTTAATATTTAAATATTGTAATATTATTACATATTTTAATAATTTATATATGTGATTTTTTTTTTTTAAGTGTGAAATAATATATATAGAAATATTCATCAAAAATGTCAGGGTGACAGCTATTGATCATCATGAATTTTAGCAGCATGAAAAAAGCAGCTTTGACATTTTGATTGTCATCCTTTTTGTATTTAACAGGGAAATGGCATCAAAACATGATTTTACTGAAACATGAAACAGGAAGGTGAGTAGAATTGAAGCAAATAATTGTGAAATTTAATTATCAAAGATACTATTTTGTTAAAAAGTTGCAACCCACACTTTGAATGGCAGTGCCACTTGTGGTATTTTAAACAGGGGTTTCATGGGAATCGGAGTAATCACACACAATGCACAAGTTACTTTTCATCAGTATTTTAAACGTTTTTTCATTAGTATTAGAGAAACAAAACCTTATAAACCCTGATTATCAAATGCTGCCCATGGATAGAATAATTGACATTTCTCTTTAATGAACATAACTCATGAATTATATCCCCTTGGCGGGCTTCAATTTCTTGTATTAAACCTATGCTGAAGCATTTAAAATCTTTACAGGTTTGGCAGTACTTCATCTTTGTAGTGCTAAGGCATTTGATTACACATATATGTGTCTAATAGTGTTAATTTCAGTGCAGAAAGAATAACTATAAAAATGGAATTCCCTTTCAGCACTAAAGTAAAATAACCATAAAATATGACAGGTTCAGTGAACTTTGTCACAAACGTAATTATGTAGCAACTTCGCACCAGCTGCACTACATGCCTGAGAAACTCTAATAATGGTATGCAAAAAAACTTTTGTGGCCGACAAGCAATAACACCTTTACAGCCCTTCATGCAGAGGCAAGTGTCTTTTTGATCTTTAAAGGAGGCATATTATGGCCCATTTTACAATATGTAATATAAGTCTCAGGTGTTCCCAGAATGTGTCTGTGAAGTTTCAGCTCAAAATACTCCCCAGATCATTTATTATATCATTTTGAAAATGCCTATTTTGATTGGAAGCAGAAACATCCTGTTTTTCGGGCCTGTCTCTTTAAATGCAAATGAGCTGCTGCTCCCCACCATTACAGCTCGGACCTGCTAAAAACATCTGTTTTGGTTCTGATTATAATGTTTATCGCGCTGAAATCATGCGTTTTAAACAATATTAGTTTACGCGTTTTAAACAATATTAGAGTTTACACTTCTGATATATGGTTTTCTGAGTGCACACATCCGAAGCACATGGAGAGAAAGCGGCTGTCACAGCATGTGAGTACTAAACTAAGTTCTCATTCACACACAAGTTTACGTTAAAAACACACATAAGTTACTAAAACAGTTGGTTATGTCTGTGAAGGTAAACAGCTGGAAAATAAATCGGATGTTTATTTTAGATCTGTGTGGCAGCAGCAATATACAGTAAATAAATCAATAAATCCACGGCTCTCTTGTCTCCTCTGAGGCTGGGACTCGAAATAGTGTTCTGTGCTCATCTGTGCAGCCAAAGACAGAACAGTTAGCATGTTTTGCTTAAACTTTCGCCATGGTATTAGAACTGGTACACCATTGTCGCTTGCGATGACGGCGCTGTGGGTGGAAATTTACAGATGAAGGGGCGGTAATATTATAATGAGATCCCTTTGCCTCGTCACCAAGAGAGCGAAATCTGACGCGCTCGTTTTTTCAGATGCTTGCAGAAAAAGGCTTACCAAAAGAAAGTGACTGGGTTAATCTTTTTCACTTTTCCTTGGTTGGTAGATGCACCGGGGACCTGATTATAGCACTTAAAACCTGAAAAAGTCAGATTTTCATGATATGTCACCTTTAAGCTAATGATCTCACCTGACAGAAAATTGACTTAGTTTCCAGTGTTAGCACTGTTAAAACTGTGTTCATATGCAGCACAACAACATGTGGGAGCCGAAGCCTCAGGCCAGTCACCCTTAAGGATTTTAACTTGCTTGAACTCAACATGCATTTACATAGCAGATGTATCTCCTGTTAGATATTAAGCACTGTTTACCCACACTACAGCAGCAGCACTAGAAAGCCCTCAAGTCAATCGCTAAGAAGATCCGATGTAGAAATTTGGCTTTCAATGTAGAACGATGAAATAAACAAAAACACAAGGACACTGAACTCTCTCTCTGACAGATCTGTATTGCTGTGGAAGTGCTCACTTTAAAAAGCAAACAACTGCACTTAAAACTGAGTTATGATCCTCTGACATTCAGTTACTATATCAGCCCTAATCTTCATGATCTCGGGCAGCAAAACATGCAGACCCCCCCCCCCCCACACCCCACACACCA